TGCTCTCTCTCATTCTCTCTCTCAAATAAATAAATAAAATCTTTAAAAAAAAAAAAAAAAAGAAAATGAAAGGCAAGCCTATTGACTGGGAGAAAATACTTGTAGAGCTCCTATCTGATAAAGGGCTTGTATTTAAAACATACCATGAATTCTTAAAACACATTCATAAGAAAAAAAATCCAATTTAAGAATCAGCAAAATGCCTGACACGTCATTAGAGAATATCTATAGATCACACGGAAAGATGCGCAACATCAGTCATAGGGGATGGAAGTAGAACGATGAGATCCCATTGCATACCTGTATCACGATGGCCTGAGTCCAACAGTACACTTGAGAACATTCACATTGGCTTTTTATGAACTTCACTCAGAGAAGGGCTGGCTAAGCCTTAGACTCTGGCGCCTTGTGCCTTGATAAAAAAAATAATCTAGTAAAGACATTTACCTTTTGTTTTTTTAAGTCCATTTAATTCTGTTTCTTGCCCGATGGCCTAAGATGATTAGGACGAAGTGCAGTTTTTCTTGACTTGTGTTACTTAATCTCCAAGATCAGGATTTTTATTTTATCTACCCACCCCCCCCACCCCCCCACCCCCTGGCCAATAGGAGACTTCCTGTGATCAGAGTGAAGGCTCTTGTTCTTCTGAAGAAGAAGAGTGGAGGAGTGATCGAAGAAGTGAGAGTGACAGCGAGAGTTCGAGGTACCTGTTTTCCTTGTTCCATCTTTTCAGCAGTTTAGTCATAGGCTTGGATGCAGTGGGACTCGGGTGGCATTCAAGATGTGAGAGCTCACGTCTGTGGGACAACTGACTGTTTAGTACATTTAAAAGCAGGAGAAAACCAGATTAACAGCTAGTTCTATAGAAAATATTTTGGGTATTTTTGACTGTAAACATTTGAGCCAGCAGGACGTAGGGTGTGTGTACTCAAAATATCAGTCTAGTCTTGGGCTGCATTTATAAAGAGTAGTATCCAAAGTATATGTGGTAAGACCATCGTTCTCTTTATTATTAGTTAATGCACGTGTTGACCTTTTGCTTAGTTTTGGTATCCAAATTTCATGGGTTGACCAAGATGTTAATATCTATTCCTCCTCTTGGTAAATAAATGTCAACTTCACCTTTGGCAGATGCTCAAGCCAGAAACCTGGACCTCTTTCTCTTTTCACAAACATATCCATCACCACATCTAGGAAGGTGCCCCTTCCAAATACGACTCAAAGTATCTTCTGTTTCCATTGGTCCTGTGCTTGTCTAAACCACCATACTGTACTCCCTGTATCCTTTCTTAACTTCTTTTATTCCATTATGATTAGGAGCTGGAGTGATTTTTAGAACACCTTTTTTTTTTTTTAATAAATTCCTTTTTAATTATGAAACAGACATAATAAAATTTACTCTCTTAACCAGTGTTAACTGTATATTTCAGTAGTGTTAAGTACATTCATATTGTCTTGCACCCAGTCTCCGGAGCTCGATGCAAAACTGAAACTGTATACTCATTAAACAGTGATTCTCCACTTCACACCCCCATCCCCTGGCAACCACTGTTCTGCTTTCTCTCTATATAATTATTGTCTTTTAATTCAACTTTTCTTGAGTTTTATTATACAAAGCAGGTGCTCTTAAAATTTTTCTAAATAGCTCTTTTTATAATAAACAGCTCTTGGAAATGTGTTAGTGTGAGTGTGTTTTATTGAGCCTGAGAGGTATGTGGTTGGCCAGTGATGGCCCAGTAGAGCCCTTTGTCATCCTTTTCTGTATTTGCTGAAGCTAGTAGTGGGCAGGGGCCTCGTTTTCTGGATCTAGTTTTCTGTTTGACTCTGCTTCTGCTCTGGGGTGGGCTAGGCCCAGTTCCTCTCGTGGACCTTCTGTCGTATCAGGGAAAGGTCCCCTTCTTGGCAAGAAGCTCTGACCGCTTACAGCTTTCTATTTGTTGTGGCTTTGTTTTCCTTGGGCTTCTCAGTCTGTTCACAGATGGTTTTTCATTCTGGTTAAAATTTCTAGTCTATTCCTGAGCCACCTCTCACTCGGGGTGGGTAGGGGGGGCCTACTCTTAATGGCTCTGTGTGATCTCTTCTGTTTTCATAACTACACTCCATCTTCTGAAAGGGGAACCGTTGGTTGGCTCTAAATGTTGCCTTCCACGAGGTCTCCTCTATATTATACTTTTAAAAAAGTTCCTCAGGCTTACATCCTTTCCCTCATTTCCAGTGAAGGTTTCTCTCTTTCTCATAATCTCTGGTCATTTCAGTATTCGCTGATGGTGAAGGCAGATTGTTCAAGTTAAATCTTCCCAGGATCCTTCCTTCCTTCCCTCTTCATCTCTTCTCTTAATGTTAGGTGACTGATTTGCTCTCAGGGCTTAGATTCTGGTTCCCTGCAACTTACGCTGTTTTCCTTTGCCAGTGACTCGTCATCTCGATATTCTGATTGGACTGCTGACGCAGGCATCAACCTGCAGCCACCTCTACGGACGTCATCACGTCGGCGAGTTACCCGTTTTTGCAGTAGTTCAGAGGATGAAATGTCTACTGAGAATTTATCTCCTCCAAAAAGGAGACGAAAGAGAAAGAAAGACAATAAGCCTAAAAAAGAGGTAAAAGAGGTATATCTTTAAAAACATTTATTTACACTTTTTATAGAGGTGTTTCTGTCCATATTTAGAAATTAAAAATCTTTGGGAAATTGGAGCTTTTACATTCTTTTGGCACTATTAAGTCATCAAGACTCAAATGTAAAATGGAATTTATATTTGGAAAAGCTGCTCTTATTATGAAGGCTTCTCTGTCGAATCTGCCGCAAATTGGCCTTGGCACCGACTCCTTCCCCACTTTGACACTTAAAGGGGGAGCCCTGTTTCGCTCAGAATCCCACCATAACTCTTTATTTTCTCCCGTTAATTTCAACACCAGAAATGTGCTTCAGGGCATTTTAAGACACTTTTTCTTATTTCATCTGCTGTTGCCATGTTTCCCAGATGCATCTGATATGTTCTCTTTCATTTGGCATGTTCACACACTCCTCCTAATTGTGCCTACTCCTTATCATATGCACAGTGCTTGTGTCGTGCAGGTGGTGGCCATTATTTAAAGATGCCACGTCCTTGTACTCGTTCTCTATTGCTGTGTAACAGATGACCCTGAAATTTAGCTCCCTAAAACTACAAACATATACTCATGTTTTGATGAATTGGGAATTTGAGGGCTGATTAGCTAGGTGATTTTTGGCTCACAGGGTTGCAGTTATCACATTGGCTGGAGTTGGCAGCTGTCTGAAGGTTTGACTGAAGCTGGCTGATCTTCTTTGAAGCTTATTCATTGGGCAGTTGGCTGGTGGACTCAGTTGCTAACCACATGGGCCCCTCCATAGTGCTGCTTGAGCATCTGCAGGACATGGTGGCTGATTTTCCCTAGAGCAAGTGATCCTGAGGTGTAAGCAGGGGGTGAACCCTAATGCTTGTGACAGCCTAGTCTTCGAAGCCTCTCGTTACTTCTGTTTTATCTTCTCTTTGTTAGAAGCACTTCCAGCCCACCCTCCAGTGGAGATGTGGCTGCACCTCTTGAAGAGGAGAGGAGGAGAATCAAAGTTTGGTCATGTTTTAAAATCACCAGTTTTAAAACCTCAAATCAAGAGGAGACTCTGTGATGATTAGTTCATGGTGAAATTCAGAAGGGTGTGTCTGTAGAGAGGCTGTCTGTTGAAGAGGATTTAGGTTGGAAATTAGGCCCCTTCTCTGTAGGATGTAAAGTGTTAGGAAGAATCTATGAGAAATTCAGGAGATGCTAGAAAAGTCCTAGGTAAATCTACAATGCTTTCACAAGTGATACGTTCCTGTGTATGTTAAGGAACCAAATATGTATGCTATTTAAAAACTAATTATATAGCAGCAATGTCCACAGTAGCCAAACTGTGGAAAGAGCCAAGATGTCCATCGACAGATGAATGGATAAAGAAGATATGGTATATATATATACAATGGAATATTATGCAGCCATCAAAAGGAATGAGATCTTGCTATTTGCAACGACGTGGATGGAGCTGGAGGGTGTTATGCTGAGCGAAATAAGTCAATCAGAGAAAGACATGTATCA